GTGATGTTAGTAAATTGTCAAATGGCTGATGCCGCACATCTTTGGGAAATGTATAAAGAAAGCTTTTCAGAAGACATTTTGTACGAGTTTTCTCTAATAGTGGCAGAAGTCAATCAAGATCTACTGGATAGAGTGTTTAATAAATGTCTTATTTTAATCGAAGATATAACACTGTCCATTGGAGGTACGTGTCTATTAGACTATGGTTTGCCCGAACCGATTAGAGTTAGTAGACCACTTCAAAATAGGGAATATTTAAACGAAATAAATTACAATATTAATGAATTCGAATTAAGTAAAGACGAAAATTCCCTTAACGATGAGCAAAGAATGGCATTTCAAAAAATATTACAAAGTGTTCAAAATGAAAACGGTGAAATATTTTTTTTGGATGCCCCGGTGGCACAGGCAAGACATTTTTATTGAATTTGTTGTTAGCAAAATTACGACATAATAATAATGTAGCATTGGCTGTTGCTTCTTCAGGTATAGCTGCTACGCTGTTAAATGGGGGACGCACAGCCCACTCTGTGTTTAAACTCCCATTGGATTTAATAAATGTAGAAACACCATGTTGCTCAATATCTAAACGGTGTAATATGGCATTGGTTTTTCAAGAATGTAGACTTATTGTTTGGGATGAATGCACAATGGCTCATAAGAGTGCTTTTGAAGCGTTGGATAGAATGTTGAAAGATATTCGTGGTAATGATTTTCTAATGGGAGGTATGACGGTTTTATTATCTGGAGATTTTCGTCAAACGCTTCCTGTAGTTCCTCGAGGAACAAGGGCAGATGAAATACAAGCCTGCTTAAAATCATCATTTCTTTGGCCTACTACTCAAAAATTGTGCCTGACAAAAAACATGCGTGTGCATTTAAAAGGCGATACAACTGCTGGAATTTTTGCACATACATTATTGAGAATTGGAGACGGTCTTTTTCCAACTGTCGAAGGAAAAATAATTATTCCTTCAGGTTTAGGAACTGTTGTAACTTCCCTTGAGGAGCTCACATCAAATATATTTCCGGAAATTTCAAAAATCTCAACCAAATCATTAGATTGGTTTTCGGAGAGAGCAATATTAACTGCTAGAAATGATAGAGCTGTGGTAATAAATAACATACTGTTAAAATCATTTGATGGTATTGAAGTTACGTATAATTCTATTGATTCAGTCACTGAAGTTGATGAAGCAGTTCATTTTCCGGTTGAATTTCTCAACCAACAAAATCCACCTGGACTTCCCTTACACATTCTAAAGCTTAAGATTGGTGCACCAATTATGCTGTTGAGAAATTTAAGACCTCCAAAACTATGTAACGGTACAAGATTGCAAGTAAAAGCTTTTCATAACAATTTAATCGAAGCTGTGGTTTTTACTGGCTGTGCCAAAGGAGAAATTGTTTTTATACCACGAATACCCCTAATACCATCAAATCTACCGTTTCAGTTTAAAAGACTTCAGTTCCCTGTAAAAGTTTGCTTTGCAATAACGATAAATAAATCGCAAGGGACGATTAAGGGACGATTGCTTCTCTCATGGTCAGTTTTATGTGGCCTGTTCAAGAGTTAGCTCCTCTGAGTCTTTAATTATTTTAGCGCCAGAAGGAAAATCAAAAAATATCGTTTATAGAGAAGTCTTGCAAAAATGTTAAACATTTCTAATTAAAATGCACTGTGGAATAGGCCTCATGGGGAAACCAAAAAAAAAAAAAAACGCGCCAAAACCTCTACCTCTATGGTGGTGTGGAAATGTGGAATGGTTTTAGTTTAAATAAAGTAGCAAATAAAAAAGTTAATCAAAAGTATAGTTTTAAGCGATATAGTTAGGAAATTGCTAATCTTAATTTCCGCAGGCGAAGCTGCGGGCTACCTTGCTAGTAATAATAATAATAACAATAACGTAAAGGTGGTAAAGTTAAAGTTTTCTCACTGTCCCAAGCGAGCTTTTGGTAGCCAAATGCCCTGGCTACTTTTTGACGCAAAATATGATGCTAAAAGAGTTTGAAGCTTAGATAATCAAGAAGGCGCCAGTGGGAGTACGACTTCTTAGTCATGGCCAAACCATGACTAACCAAAACCATCTTCCTCTTCAGCTCTATCTTTAAAATACTAACATCTAACTTATATCCTTTCCTTTGCTTTTCTATTATCGTGTTTACAGAAACCAGATTAAAGCCGTAGATTCTAAACGAAGAGGTTTTTTCAGGTAAGTACAGAATATAAAGTACTGACCGTCCACTAGACGGTGGTGAAGTCTTAATTGGCGTGGACTCAAGCCTTACTTCAGAGGAGTTATTTTTTTGACGAATTTAATATTATTAAATTTTATTGCGTAAGTTATCGTTTCCTGGTATCTCTATAAATATATCTTGCTAACTATTCGTTATCAAGTCTGTTTCAAAAAAAGGTTTTTCGAGAAAAAATTAAAAGTGCAGCCGAAGAGAGCGGACGTTTCGCGCGACTCCCGGAAAAATTGAAGAAAGTGGATGTACTAAAGATAAATAAAATATTAAATAACTAAATAGGTGTATTACAAAATAGGCAAAAAGACGCTAAAACAAAACTAGTTATCAACACACAAAATCAGTGATATGACTAAAACAACTGAAAATTATTTTATAATAGTGCCACGCTAAAAGTTCAATGGACCAATAAAGAGCGCATAAGCTCCGTGAGCCAAAGAGACGGATACTTCTCATTTCTCTACACCCGATAGCGAAGTGCAAAAAACGTCTACAAAGAGTCACCCGGCTCTACTGTCAGTCGATACCCATAGAGCCTGTTCTTGCTCACTCTCTCTATTTACTCTTACTCCTACGGCGTGGAGTTTTCAGCGTAGCGCTGGTCGGGGCCAGAAATTTTCATGTTGCTCTGCCCACAAAAGTGAATTTTCACGAAACCAATCTTGAAGAACTAAATTGACGAACATATCCGAGCTGCATCCAAATACCTTAGCTTGGAAAAACTACCACACTCACCAACTAAAAAGCCGCAAAGGATTGCAAGTTGTACTAAAAGGAATCGCGCCCAACGTAACTTCTTATGAAGTTATCGATGCCCTCAAAGAAAACGGGTTTTCTCCAAAGAACGTAAGTATTAACAGAAACAAAAACCGCAACCGCTCTTCAAGGTGGGGCAGAGTCTTGAAGAAAAATGCATCCCATTTATAACGTGCAATACCTATTGCACTTAAGAATTCAGGAACGGCCCAGTTACAAAGTGTCAGGAGAATGGACACACCAGGAAATACTGCACACTTGGATCAGTCTGTGTAGTTTGTGGAGACTTTCACAATTCAGCTAACTTGCCTGCCAACAATGCAGACCCCAAAAGAAGAAATGTGGAAACTTGGGAGGAAATCACACGGCAAATTACAGGGGCTGGGTGGTCTACAAGGTGTTGAAAAAACGCAAACCAACAATGCAGACCCCAAAAGAAGAAATGTGGAAACTTGGGAGGAAATCACACGGCAAATTACAGGGGCTGGGTGGTCTACAAGGTGTTGAAAAAACGCAAACCGAGCGGCAATGGCGTTTCCCGGCACAAACTTGAAATAACACAGTTCCTGAATAAAAATAATATGGACATTATGCTACTGATAGAGAAGCACCTCACAAGTAAATACAACTTCCAAATAGGAGGCTACACCTTCTACCTTCTAATCAGGGAACGCATCAAACACCACTTTCACCAAAGGTTTGCAACTAATTACTTACAGGTCACGTCTATCAAAGTACAGTCAGGTAGCGAAGACCTTTCCATAGCCGCTGTTTACTGTCCGCCTCGCTTTACAATTTCAGAAGGAAAATTCATGGATTTTTACAACTTACTTGGAGATTGCTTCATAGCAGCAGGAGACGATAATGCCAATCATACCCATTGGGGATCACGACTCGTGACTCCTAAAGAAAGTCAATTATATAATGCAATTATAAAACTGACCAACAAATTGGACTATGTTTCATCAGTTACCACATACCGGCCAGCAGACCCAGAAAAATTGATTTTGCGGTGCCAAAAAACATTTCACGCAATATAATAGGCACCAAAGAGCTTTCGGACCTTTCATTAGACCATTCGTCAGTGCTAATAACTCTCCTTCAAAGCTCAGAAACTACAGATCACCCCACAGACTGACATCTCACAGAACAAACTGGTTAAAATATAAAATGTATGTATGCTCCAATGATGTTCTTGAAGATGTACTCGCACTGACAGCAGCTACTATTTCGAAACCACAAGGGGAGGACGTGCAAGCCAACCATTTCAAAACTAAACTGGAATTGGAACAGCTTGTGCTAAAAAAGTGGAGTCTGCGACGTGCTGGGCAAACCAACAGATCGCAATCTTTAAAACAACGTATTAAGGAAGCCACTCGCACACTAAACCAAGCCCTGAAGAAAGACGCTGAAAATGCACAACTACGTTACATCGAAAAACTTTCGCCAATCAGTAAAAAACATCCTCTGTAAAGGGCACATCCAAATCTGAGCTCTTTAATCGAAACAGTCACTCCTATAAAAAACTCATCAGGAGGCCCGCAGCGACGAAGATAGAGCCGAAACTTTTGCTTCAAATCTCCGCAGCGTTTTCTAGCATCCTTTTTCTTACATCATATCCAAACTGTTCACGATATCTATAGAATCTTCCCAATTTTCCTATATTAAAAAAAAATCATCTCTTCACATTTACAAAAAAATTATTACTCCCCATTTGCAATTACTGCAAATATTATTTTACCTTCTTGTTCCATTAGACTACTGTTAATTAATTTATCCTCCCTAGCCACCCGAGGGACGATGCTTGGTATGGTTTTTATTTATAACCTCATTCGTGGTATGATTGATAGCCCCGTCTTGGTAGGTCGGCTTAACTCTTCTGTGCCAAGTAGATAAACTGAAATTATATTTCTCTACTATTAAACCATTGTAGATCCAACTATGACTTGCATAAAACTTTCAGAGTATTATGGTTTTAACTTAACTTAACTTACTTTATTAGCACAAGATTAGGTCTTACTCTTTTTTCCCGAATTTTTCTAGCGTCTGTTTTCTCTCGAATCGTGTCGTGCGACACTCAGCTACGCTCCTCGGTCGGTTGGGCGGGTGGTACGCCGTGAACCTATGCGGGAAAAAGAAAAATAATTATTTTATAATAACTCGATTTTTTTGAACTTTTTAATTATGCACAGAAAATAATTATGAAATATTTCTTCGGACCAACAATTTAATTTTGGATAGAAATGAAATCAGTGATATGACCAAGTTTTTCTTTTTTTGGGTCTCAAAAAATTAAATCTAAGTTACGGAAAAATTAGTTCGCAATTCTGCAAAAGCGGAAAAACTGTGATATCACTGAATGAAATTGCAGCGGAGTTCATGCTGAAGTGATTTCTGTGAATTCCCTGATAAATTGAAATATATACTCGTATTATAACCAGAGCTCGCAAAAAACTGTCGACCGTTTCTTGTTGTCTGCAAATAAGTGTATTTTCCTGACGTTTTACGAAAAGACTCAGAGAGCAACCGATTTATGGGTTCTTGAATGAGCTCGCTCGCTCTCAGAGCGAAACCGTTTTTTTCTATTCTGTTTGGTTCTGGTTGTTCCAAGACCTTTTTTTCGTATTCAGTTAAGCAAAAGGTCTTATGCGTTTTCTTCGTTGTGAGGCACCGTAAAAGCTGCCCCACATCCAGCGGATAAAAATGTACATATTCACACAAATATTGGTAGATAATAAGATAATAATGATAAGATAATAATTTAAGATGTACATATTGGTAGATAATAAGAAAAACTAGTACTAAGTTAGGATAGGCCACGGAGGCAGGCAAGAAGCCAAAAGAGCCGTTAAGTTCATTAAAACAGGCGTTATTTAATGTATTAATTAGGATCTCAGCTGATCAGGCACTCTACTCAGCGAGTTAGGCGATCTACACACGATCGGATTAGGCGACCTACGCACGGATCCAGTGTTGAGAAGCGAGAACCCGGCTGGCTATATAAACCCGGCGGCTGCTAGTCCAGTCTCTTTTCATTCGCCCCCAGTCAAAGAACAAGCATCGAAGCAGAGAAAACCACGCAAAGGACACGCAGGACACCAAGGACCCGCAGGACATCAAGGATTAGGACGAAGGACCCTAGTGAGTAGAGTGCGAGAGAGATAGGGAGAGACAGGGAAAGAAAATAGTGCGGCTAGGGAAAATATACAGATAGAAAAGAGGAAGAAAAGCCCACAAAGATAACCAAGAAAAATAAAAACGAAAACACGGACAATAAGAACAGCGAACATACACCGAGTTGGATTTATTTCTTCCCTGACCCTCAGAGCCCTGATCCGCGTGTGCTAAAACAGTGGCCTAAGCCAAGCTGGTTGCGTTTTCGAGAAGATTCCTCTGCGCAACTGGACTTTGGTGGCAACCACGTGCACAGACGTGAAGGCGTGCAAGTACGGGTTTTCTTTCCGCTTGCATAGCTTTCCGTCGCGATTCCGGTCGACACACCCAAGCCCCAAGTAACCCGAACCCGACCAGCGTGTGCCAAACAGTGGCCCAAGCCAAGCCGGTTGCGTTTTCGAGAAGATTCCTCTGCGCAACTGGACTTTGGTGGCAACCACGTGCACAGACGTGAAGGCGTGCAAGTACGGCTTTCCGTCTCGGTTTCGACCGACGCACACCCATCCCGAACAGTGGGAGCATTTCCCAGAACTGGGAGCGCTGACTTCTGTCCATGTTTATAGACGATTCCTCTGCGTGGGCGTGAAACAGCGCCCCAGGCGGCGGGAGTTGACACAGTGGTACGGGCCAATCCCCCCACTGTGCCTCCTCCGGTACGCACGTGACGGCTTTCACTCGTTCGCGTCTGGCCCAAATTCGAGTCCCAAATGCCTGCTCTGACCCGCCAATAAGGCCCACCGCGCGCATCGGCGACTGCGTCCAGATTGCCCGCCTCTCCTCGTCCCCGCTTATTTACAAATTCGATTGTAAAGGATCCTGGGGAGACTGAGCTCCATCCCAGCCGTAGAAACATCCTTACATCGTTAAGCGTCTGTTTTGCAGATATATGAAATATGGAATCAAAATGGAACTTGTTAACAAAAATATTTGAAAATAAATTTAAAATTCTCTATTAAACAAATTATATTATTTCTTTTTCACAACAACGAAAGTAAATGTGAAGACCGTTTGCATTTACTTTTTCGGTCAATCGGTCTTTTGCTGACTCTCATTTTGCGACCGTTTCTCATTCCGCTCTTTACGCACTGCTCATTGAAAGAGCGATATACAAATATCTCAACAAAAAGCACTCAACAGAAAACATAAATGAAGACAGCAAGAGTCTTTTGCTCAGAGCGAGAGAGTATGAACTTTTTCGGTTGTGCTCGCAACGAGAGCGCAAGAAGAAAAACTGTCAACAGTTATTTGCGAGCTATGATTATAACACTTTAGTAAAACCACTAACCATACAACATATAGACTGGTCATTTCATACAACGAAAGTGGTCACAAAAATTTCAAAGCGGCAGGCCCCACAGCTGGTAGCGGCAGGCCCCGGACACTTCGTTCGCTTTCGGGTTTTTTTCGCTCTGATTCTTATTCTCATTTTGACGCTCGCGCGCTCATTACTCGAGTTCGGTCGTGCAGTCGCAGAGACGCGCATTTTGAAGAAGGTTGCCCTGCGCTTGAATTGGGCTTTGTATGTATGCGTGTTCATGCATTCTCATACAGGAGTGCATGTGTGCGATCATTTCATTTCGATGCACCAATAATATTTTGTATTTTGCTACTTTTCAGACTTGGTACCCTAACAATATGAGCGTATTCACTATTGGGTTAATGAGAATAAGAATAAGAATATTATATGTTATAGTATATTTTTATATTTTTTAATATTTCAGCATATATTTTATATTGGTTTACAAATTCAAATCAGTGGTAGCAGAAAAATGTTTTGCATATATGTATGTATTGTAACCACCCTGTTTTGGGAGACGGTATAGCTCGCCGTGGTTACGGTTCATGACAGATATTTATATTTTCCTCTATAGATCAATTTAACGCTTGAAAAACAACAATTGAAAAAACGCAAACCGTGCGGCAATGGCGTTTCCCGGCACAAACTTGAAATAACACAGTTCCTGAATAAAAATAATATGGACATTATGCTACTGATAGAGAAGCACCTCACAAGTAAATACAACTGCCAAATAGGAGGCTACACCTTCTACCTTCTAATCAGGGAACGCATCAAACACCACTTTCACCAAAGGTTTGCAACTAATTACTTACAGGTCACGTCTATCAAAGTGCAGTCAGGTAGCGAAGACCTTTCCATAGCCGCTGTTTACTGTCCGCCTCGCTTTACAATTTCAGAAGGAAAATTCATGGATTTTTACAACTTACTTGGAGATTGCTTCATAGCAGCAGGAGACGATAATGCCAATCATACCCATTGGGGATCACGACTCGTGACTCCCAAAGAAAGTCAATTATATAATGCAATTATAAAACTGACCAACAAATTGGACTATGTTTCATCAGTTACCACATACCAGCCAGCAGACCCAGAAAAGTTGATTTTGCGGTGCCAAAAAACATTTCACGCAATATAATAGGCGCCAAAGAGCTTTCGGACCTTTCATTAGACCATTCGTCAGTGCTAATAACTCTCCTTCAAAGCTCAGAAACTACAGATCACCCCACAGACTGACATCTCACAGAACAAAATGTATGTATGCTCCAATGATGTTCTTGAAGATGTACTCGCACTGACAGCAGCTACTATTTCGAAACCACAAGGGGAGGACGTGCAAGCCAACCATTTCAAAACTAAACTGGAATTGGAACAGCTTGTGCTAAAAAAGTGGAGTCTGCGACGTGCTGGGCAAACCAACAGATCGCAATCTTTAAAACAACGTATTAAGGAAGCCACTCGCACACTAAACCAAGCCCTGAAGAAAGACGCTGAAAATGCACAACTACGTTACATCGAAAAACTTTCGCCAATCAATAAAAAACATCCTCTGTAAAGGGCACATCCAAATCTGAGCTCTTTAATCGAAACAGTCACTCCTATAAAAAACTCATCAGGAGGCCCGCAGCGACGAAGATAGAGCCGAAACTTTTGCTTCAAATCTCCGCAGCGTTTTCTAGCACCCTTTTTCTTACATCATATCCAAACTGTTCACGATATCTATAGAATCTTCCCAATTTTCCTATATTAAAAAAAAATCATCTCTTCACATTTACAAAAAAATTATTACTCCCCATTTGCAATTACTGCAAATATTATTTTACCTTCTTGTTCCATTAGACTACTGTTAATTAATTTATCCTCCCTAGCCACCCGAGGGACGATGCTTGGTATGGTTTTTATTTATAACCTCATTCGTGGTATGATTGATAGCCCCGTCTTGGTAGGTCGGCTTAACTCTTCTGTGCCAAGTAGATAAACTGAAATTATATTTCTCTACTATTAAACCATTGTAGATCCAACTATGACTTGCATAAAACTTTCAGAGTATTATGGTTTTAACTTAACTTAACTTACTTTATTAGCACAAGATTAGGTCTTACTCTTTTTTCCCGAATTTTTCTAGCGTCTGTTTTCTCTCGAATCGTGTCGTGCGACACTCAGCTACGCTCCTCGGTCGGTTGGGCGGGTGGTACGCCGTGAACCTATGCGGGAAAAAGAAAAATAATTATTTTATAATAACTCGATTTTTTTGAACTTTTTAATTATGCACAGAAAATAATTATGAAATATTTCTTCGGACCAACAATTTAATTTTGGATAGAAATGAAATCAGTGATATGACCAAGTTTTTCTTTTTTTTGGGTCTCAAAAAATTAAATCTAAGTTACGGAAAAATTAGTTCGCAATTCTGCAAAAGCGGAAAAACTGTGATATCACTGAATGAAATTGCAGCGGAGTTCATGCTGAAGTGATTTCTGTGAATTCCCTGATAAATTGAAATATATACTCGTATTATAACCAGAGCTCGCAAAAAACTGTCGACCGTTTCTTGTTGTCTGCAAATAAGTGTATTTTCCTGACGTTTTACGAAAAGACTCAGAGAGCAACCGATTTATGGGTTCTTGAATGAGCTCGCTCGCTCTCAGAGCGAAACCGTTTTTTTCTATTCTGTTTGGTTCTGGTTGTTCCAAGACCTTTTTTTCGTATTCAGTTAAGCAAAAGGTCTGATGCGTTTTCTTCGTTGTGAGGCACCGTAAAAGCTGCCCCACATCCAGCGGATAAAAATGTACATATTCACACAAATATTGGTAGATAATAAGATAATAATGATAAGATAATAATTTAAGATGTACATATTGGTAGATAATAAGAAAAACTAGTACTAAGTTAGGATAGGCCACGGAGGCAGGCAAGAAGCCAAAAGAGCCGTTAAGTTCAAAACTTCGGCCGCTAGCCGGTAGTTCAAACAGGCGTTATTTAATGTATTAATTAGGATCTCAGCTGATCAGGCACTCTACTCAGCGAGTTAGGCGATCTACACACGATCGGATTAGGCGACCTACGCACGGATCCAGTGTTGAGAAGCGAGAACCCGGCTGGCTATATAAACCCGGCGGCTGCTAGTCCAGTCTCTTTTCATTCGCCCCCAGTCAAAGAACAAGCATCGAAGCAGAGAAAACCACGCAAAGGACACGCAGGACACCAAGGACCCGCAGGACATCAAGGATTAGGACGAAGGACCCTAGTGAGTAGAGTGCGAGAGAGATAGAAAGAGACAGGGAAAGAAAATAGTGCGGCTAGGGAAAATATATAGATAGAAAAGAGGAAGAAAAGCCCACAAAGATAACCAAGAAAAATAAAAACGAAAACACGGACAATAAGAACAGCGAACATACACCGAGTTGGATTTATTTCTTCCCTGACCCTCAGAGCCCTGATCCGCGTGTGCTAAAACAGTGGCCTAAGCCAAGCTGGTTGCGTTTTCGAGAAGATTCCTCTGCGCAACTGGACTTTGGTGGCAACCACGTGCACAGACGTGAAGGCGTGCAAGTACGGGTTTTCTTTCCGCTTGCATAGCTTTCCGTCGCGATTCCGGTCGACACACCCAAGCCCCAAGTAACCCGAACCCGACCCGCGTGTGCCAAACAATGGCCCAAGCCAAGCCGGTTGCGTTTTCGAGAAGATTCCTCTGCGCAACTGGACTTTGGTGGCAACCACGTGCACAGACGTGAAGGCGTGCAAGTACGGGTTTTCTTTCCGCTTGCATAGCTTTCCGTCTCGGTTTCGACCGACGCACACCCATCCCGAACAGTGGGAGCATTTCCCAGAACTGGGAGCGCTGACTTCTGTCCATGTTTAGAGACGATTCCTCTGCGTGGGCGTGAAACAGCGCCCCAGGCGGCGGGAGTTGACACAGTGGTACGGGCCAATCCCCCCACTGTGCCTCCTCCGGTACGCACGTACGCAAATGCCTGCTCTGACCCGCCAATAAGGCCCACCGCGCGCATCGGCGACTGCGTCCAGATTGCCCGCCTCTCCTCGTCCCCGCTTATTTACAAATTCGATTGTAAAGGATCCTGGGGAGACTGAGCTCCATCCCAGCCGTAGAAACATCCTTACATCGTTAAGCGTCTGTTTTGCAGATATATGAAATATGGAATCAAAATGGAACTTGTTAACAAAAATATTTGAAAATAAATTTAAAATTCTCTATTAAACAAATTATATTATTTCTTTTTCACAACAACGAAAGTAAATGTGAAGACCGTTTGCATTTACTTTTTCGGTCAATCGGTCTTTTGCTGACTCTCATTTTGCGACCGTTTCTCATTCCGCTCTTTACGCACTGCTCATTGAAAGAGCGATATACAAATATCTCAACAAAAAGCACTCAACAGAAAACATAAATGAAGACAGCAAGAGTCTTTTGCTCAAAGCGAGAGAGTATGAACTTTTTCGGTTGTGCTCGCAACGAGAGCGCAAGAAGAAAAACTGTCAACAGTTATTTGCGAGCTATGATTATAACACTTTAGTAAAACCACTAACCATACAACATATAGACTGGTCATTTCATACAACGAAAGTGGTCACAAAAATTTCAAAGCGGCAGGCCCCACAGCTGGTAGCGGCAGGCCCCGGACACTTCGTTCGCTTTCGGGTTTTTTTCGCTCTGATTCTTATTCTCATTTTGACGCTCGCGCGCTCATTACTCGAGTTCGGTCGTGCAGTCGCAGAGACGCGCATTTTGAAGAAGGTTGCCCTGCGCTTGAATTGGGCTTTGTATGTATGCGTGTTCATGCATTCTCATACAGGAGTGCATGTGTGCGATCATTTCATTTCGATGCACCAATAATATTTTGTATTTTGCTACTTTTCAGACTTGGTACCCTAACAATATGAGCGTATTCACTATTGGGTTAATGAGAATAAGAATAAGAATATTATATGTTATAGTATATTTTTATATTTTTTAATATTTCAGCATATATTTTATATTGGTTTACAAATTCAAATCAGTGGTAGCAGAAAAATGTTTTGCATATATGTATGTATTGTAACCACCCTGTTTTGGGAGACGGTATAGCTCGCCGTGGTTACGGTTCATGACAGATATTTATATTTTCCTCTATAGATCAATTTAACGCTTGAAAAACAACAATTGAAAAAACGCAAACCGTGCGGCAATGGCGTTTCCCGGCACAAACTTGAAATAACACAGTTCCTGAATAAAAATAATATGGACATTATGCTACTGATAGAGAAGCACCTCACAAGTAAATACAACTTCCAAATAGGAGGCTACACCTTCTACCTTCTAATCAGGGAACGCATCAAACACCACTTTCACCAAAGGTTTGCAACTAATTACTTACAGGTCACGTCTATCAAAGTGCAGTCAGGTAGCGAAGACCTTTCCATAGCCGCTGTTTACTGTCCGCCTCGCTTTACAATTTCAGAAGGAAAATTCATGGATTTTTACAACTTACTTGGAGATTGCTTCATAGCAGCAGGAGACGATAATGCCAATCATACCCATTGGGGATCACGACTCGTGACTCCCAAAGAAAGTCAATTATATAATGCAATTATAAAACTGACCAACAAATTGGACTATGTTTCATCAGTTACCACATACCAGCCAGCAGACCCAGAAAAGTTGATTTTGCGGTGCCAAAAAACATTTCACGCAATATAATAGGCGCCAAAGAGCTTTCGGACCTTTCATTAGACCATTCGTCAGTGCTAATAACTCTCCTTCAAAGCTCAGAAACTACAGATCACCCCACAGACTGACATCTCACAGAACAAAATGTATGTATGCTCCAATGATGTTCTTGAAGATGTACTCGCACTGACAGCAGCTACTATTTCGAAACCACAAGGGGAGGACGTGCAAGCCAACCATTTCAAAACTAAACTGGAATTGGAACAGCTTGTGCTAAAAAGTGGAGTCTGCGACGTGCTGGGCAAACCAACAGATCGCAATCTTTAAAACAACGTATTAAGGAAGCCACTCGCACACTAAACCAAGCCCTGAAGAAAGACGCTGAAAATGCACAACTACGTTACATCGAAAAACTTTCGCCAATCAGTAAAAAACATCCTCTGTAAAGGGCACATCCAAATCTGAGCTCTTTAATCGAAACAGTCACTCCTATAAAAAACTCATCAGGAGGCCCGCAGCGACGAAGATAGAGCCGAAACTTTTGCTTCAAATCTCCGCAGCGTTTTCTAGCACCCTTTTTCTTACATCATATCCAAACTGTTCACGATATCTATAGAATCTTCCCAATTTTCCTATATTAAAAAAAAATCATCTCTTCATATTTACAAAAAAATTATTACTCCCCATTTGCAATTACTGCAAATATTATTTTACCTTCTTGTTCCATTAGACTACTGTTAATTAATTTATCCTCCCTAGCCACCCGAGGGACGATGCTTGGTATGGTTTTTATTTATAACCTCATTCGTGGTATGATTGATAGCCCCGTCTTGGTAGGTCGGCTTAACTCTTCTGTGCCAAGTAGATAAACTGAAATTATATTTCTCTACTATTAAACCATTGTAGATCCAACTATGACTTGCATAAAACTTTCAGAGTATTATGGTTTTAACTTAACTTAACTTACTTTATTAGCACAAGATTAGGTCTTACTCTTTTTTCCCGAATTTTTCTAGCGTCTGTTTTCTCTCGAATCGTGTCGTGCGACACTCAGCTACGCTCCTCGGTCGGTTGGGCGGGTGGTACGCCGTGAACCTATGCGGGAAAAAGAAAAATAATTATTTTATAATAACTCGATTTTTTTGAACTTTTTAATTATGCACAGAAAATAATTATGAAATATTTCTTCGGACCAACAATTTAATTTTGGATAGAAATGAAATCAGTGATATGACCAAGTTTTTCTTTTTTTGGGTCTCAAAAAATTAAATCTAAGTTACGGAAAAATTAGTTCGCAATTCTGCAAAAGCGGAAAAACTGTGATATCACTGAATGAAATTGCAGCGGAGTTCATGCTGAAGTGATTTCTGTGAATTCCCTGATAAATTGAAATATATACTCGTATTATAACCAGAGCTCGCAGAAAACTGTCGACCGTTTCTTGTTGTCTGCAAATAAGTGTATTTTCCTGACGTTTTACGAAAAGACTCAGAGAGCAACCGATTTATGGGTTCTTGAATGAGCTCGCTCGCTCTCAGAGCGAAACCGTTTTTTCTATTCTGTTTGGTTCTGGTTGTTCCAAGACCTTTTTTCGTATTCAGTTAAGCAAAAGGTCTTATGCGTTTTCTTCGTTGTGAGGCACCGTAAAAGCTGCCCCACATCCAGCGGATAAAAATGTACATATTCACACAAATATTGGTAGATAATAAGATAATAATGATAAGATAATAATTTAAGATGTACATATTGGTAGATAATAAGAAAAACTAGTACTAAGTTAGGATAGGCCACGGAGGCAGGCAAGAAGCCAAAAGAGCCGTTAAGTTCAAAACTTCGGCCGTTAGCCGGTAGTTCAAACAGGCGTTATTTAATGTATTAATTAGGATCTCAGCTGATCAGGCACTCTACTCAGCGAGTTAGGCGATCTACACACGATCGGATTAGGCGACCTACGCACGGATCCAGTGTTGAGAAGCGAGAACCCGGCTGGCTATATAAACCCGGCGGCTGCTAGTCCAGTCTCTTTTCATTCGCCCCCAGTCAAAGAACAAGCATCGAAGCAGAGAAAACCACGCAAAGGACACGCAGGACACCAAGGACCCGCAGGACATCAAGGATTAGGACGAAGGACCCTAGTGAGTAGAGTGCGAGAGAGATAGAAAGAGACAGGGAAAGAAAATAGTGCGGCTAGGGAAAATATATAGATAGAAAAGAGGAAGAAAAGCCCACAAAGATAACCAAGAAAAATAAAAACGAAAACACGGACAATAAGAACAGCGAACATACACCGAGTTGGATTTATTTCTTCCCTGACCCTCAGAGCCCTGATCCGCGTGTGCTAAAACAGTGGCCTAAGCCAAGCTGGTTGCGTTTTCGAGAAGATTCCTCTGCGCAACTGGACTTTGGTGGCAACCACGTGCACAGACGTGAAGGCGTGCAAGTACGGGTTTTCTTTCCGCTTGCATAGCTTTCCGTCTCGGTTTCGACCGACGCACACCCATCCCGAACAGTGGGAGCATTTCCCAGAACTGGGAGCGCTGACTTCTGTCCATGTTTAGAGACGATTCCTCTGCGTGGGCGTGAAACAGCGCCCCAGGCGGCGGGAGTTGACACAGTGGTACGGGCCAATCCCCCACTGTGCCTCCTCCGGTACGCACGTGACGGCTTTCACTCGTTCGCGTCTGGCCCAAATTCGAGTCCCAAATGCCTGCTCTGACCCGCCAATAAGGCCCACCGCGCGCATCGGCGACTGCGTCCAGATTGCCCGCCTCTCCTCGTCCCCGCTTATTTACAAATTCGATTGTAAAGGATCCTGGGGAGACTGAGCTCCATCCCAGCCGTAGAAACATCCTTACATCGTTAAGCGTCTGTTTTGCAGATATATGAAATATGGAATCAAAATGGAACTTGTTAACAAAAATATTTGAAAATAAATTTAAAATTCTCTATTAAACAAATTATATTATTTCTTTTTCACAACAACGAAAGTAAATGTGAAGACCGTTTGCATTTACTTTTTCGGTCAATCGGTCTTTTGCTGACTCTCATTTTGCGACCGTTTCTCATTCCGCTCTTTACGCACTGCTCATTGAAAGAGCGATATACAAATATCTCAACAAAAAGCACTCAACAGAAAACATAAATGAAGACAGCAAGAGTCTTTTGCTCAGAGCGAGAGAGTATGAACTTTTTCGGTTGTGCTCGCAACGAGAGCGCAAGAAGAAAAACTGTCAACAGTTATTTGCGAGCTATGATTATAACACTTTAGTAAAACCACTAACCATACAACATATAGACTGGTCATTTCATACAACGAAAGTGGTCACAAAAATTTCAAAGCGGCAGGCCCCACAGCTGGTAGCGGCAGGCCCCGGACACTTCGTTCGCTTTCGGGTTTTTTTCGCTCTGATTCTTATTCTCATTTTGACGCTCGCGCGCTCATTACTCGAGTTCGGTCGTGCAGTCGCAGAGACGCGCATTTTGAAGAAGGTTGCCCTGCGCTTGAATTGGGCTTTGTATGTATGCGTGTTCATGCATTCTCATACAGGAGTGCATGTGTGCGATCATTTCATTTCGATGCACCAATAATATTTTGTATTTTGCTACTTTTCAGACTTGGTACCCTAACAATATGAGCGTATTCACTATTGGGTTAATGAGAATAAGAATAAGAATATTATATGTTATAGTATATTTTTTAATATTTCAGCATATATTTTATATTGGTTTACAAATTCAAATCAGTGGTAGCAGAAAAATGTTTTGCATATATGTATGTATTGTAACCACCCTGTTTTGGGAGACGGTATAGCTCGCCGTGGTTACGGTTCATGACAGATATTTATATTTTCCTCTATAGATCAATTTACCTCCCTTTCCCCAATAATGAACCAGAGGGATAGAACTATAAAGGATACGTGTATTTCGAAGTAATCGTACAATATACGTTGGCCGTGTGGTTGTGTATAGATGAGTCGGGACTGCTTGCTTTGTCGATTCGGCGCTTCGGAAGGGCCGAGTGCTGAACTGCTTGCTGTCGTGATCCGGCGCTACGGAAAGGCCGAGTGATGAACTGCTTGCTTCGTGGAGGTTGATCGGTGAGCTGCTTTCTCCGTGACCTAGCGCTACGGAAGGGCCAAGAGGTTCACTGCATACTGCGAGCTTCGGCGCTGCGGATGGGCCGAGAAGTCGCGTCGGCGTTGCGCAAGGGCCGAGAAGTCGCGTCGGCGCTGTGGAAGGGCCGAGAAGTCGCGTCGGCGCTGCGGAAGGGCCGAGAAGTGGCATGCTTCGTCGTGCGTACGTCGGGTTCGTAGTGTTCTGGGTAGTTGGGAGAGATCTACTTGGATGTCTATTGGGATTCGGGATCGCCAGGATCGTTTTCAAGAGTTATTCTATCCAAAGAGCTGTCACTTTACCTTTAAGTCGCGTATATCGGATTGACCCGATAAAAAGTCATCAGCTTGCACTTGGATGCGTTTAAATTTAGTGAATTATCTCGGCACCAGTTTTGAAAATGATCTAGATCGGATTGCAAGTCTAAATGGCAGGAAATATCCTTATACTGCAGGCATAACTTAAGATCATGTGCGTACATAAGTACGCGAGAATGAATTAATTGAGGAAAGATCGTTAATAAATAATGTAAAAAGTAGCGGAACAAGATGGTTTCCTTGTGGGACACCGAAAGTAACATGGAGAATTTTAGAAATTGAATTTTTGAAAAGTACCCTTTGTGTCCTGCCATTTAAGTAACTTAAGATCTATATAAGGAGATCAACTGGAAAACCTAACAGGTCAAGTTTTGAACAAGAAGTGAGTGATTTACAGAGTCAAATGCTTTACTAAAGTCAGTGTAAATGACGTCTATTTGAAAACTACTATTGAAGCCTTTTATCGGAAATGTAGTAAGCTCTAGAAGGTTTGTGATTATACGATCACGTTAAATAAATTCGTGTTGATACGGAGAAATGATTGATCTACAAATGTTCCTCCAAATAAGATAAGGAAATGCTGATAACTTAGATATACCTCTATAGTTACTGGCTTCTAACTTGTTCCCTTTTTTGTAAAAAGGAATAACAAATGATTCCTTCCAAATATTTGGAAATTGGGAAGTTTCTAGAGATAAGGTAAACAACTTGTGAAGAATTCACAGGGCAATGCCTTCGGCAAGGCGAAGTTTATATACCCTTGCAGTTATTACAAATCGACTACATTTCAATTTCTATGCCTATATTAATAAAATCAATGAAGCTATGTCGAATTTGCGCTGCATTTTGTGATCGTATCTATTACAGCTGTATGATGTTGTAGTCCGATTTTGACAAAACTAATGGCGTATTTTTGGTATAGTAAATATTTACTAAATCTCAAAAATATTTTGATAAATAGAAAAAAACAGCAAAATAACATATTTGTTCATAATTATTTTTTAAAATTTTTTTATTTCCATATGGGAGCCATATGATATAGATATCCGATTTTAATTCAATTAACATCGTAGTTCCGTAGTATTAAAATATTACCAGATCCCAAAGAGCAAAAAAAATTAAATAAAATTATTCCTATGATATCATATAGTCGCCCGATCTGGCTCGTTTCGACTTATGGTGGTATATACAGTCATGGAAAACATAATAGAAACGACAATTTTTTTTCGTATTTTTCAAACTTTTCTTCAGTCAATTTTTTTTTTTTTAAGTTTAATAATTTTGATTGATAGTCGATTCAATTATGTGTCAAAATATACCAAAACAATAATTTTCAAAAAACGTTATGAACTAAAAAATAATTTTTAAAATTTTTAGGCCTGGAAAAAATAATAGAAACGACTGAGTTAATTCTATGAAAAACAGTTTTGTAGCTTCAAAGCCTATTAGTTTAGATGGTAACTTTAATATATAGTTGTGCCACCGCTATTTTTAATGACTTTGGTTCAGCGGTGTCCCATTGAATCCACCAAATTAGCACAAATTGATGGTTCAATGGAGTACCTCTCAGAATTCACTTTCTTCCACAAATATTCCCAGTTTTGGACTTAAACCCACCAAGCCTCTTCTTTATTATCCCCCAAAGGTGCTCTATAGGATTTAAGT